CCTTAAAGAAAAGCACAAGCATTGACACAGGCAATTGCAAATATTAGGGAGAGAAGGGAGAAAATGTAATTACATCTCAGTTCTGAGGGGACCGGGTTTGCTTTCCTCTGCTGTTCCCTGAGTGAGTGAGCTCCTGCAAAGGAGTGCTCGGCTTGTGAGCTTTTTAGTTTCTTCTTCTTTTTTTTTGGTCCAGTAACAGGAATTATTTTTTAAAAACATTTTGTAACCATTAAGGGAGATTAGACCATCTTCTTACAGTTTTTACGCTCAAACAGACAGAAATTGCGACCCCAAGTGTCCGATTGGGGAACAGCAGCTACTTTTCACGGGGAAAAAAAAACACCCGGAAAAAAACAAAACCGAAGCGGGCGGGAGCGACGTGGGAGCGGGAACCGGAGCGAGAACGGGAGCAGGAACCGGAGCGAGAACGGGAGCGGAGCTGCTGCGGTCCCGCCGCTCCGGAGCTGCTCCTCCGCCTCCCCGCACCTCAGCACCTCCCGGAGCCCAGTCCCACCCCCGGTTCTTTTAGCCCAAAAGAACAGCTAAAGAAAAGAAAAGTTCAAGACCAGTATATTTTCAGAAATGACTTAGGGAGGAGCTGACTTTCTGGACCTGGGACAACAGCGAGAAAGTCCCCAAGCGGAGACCCCTCGCCCCTCTGGTGTGGGTCCCTCCCTGCCTGACACGAGCGCTGTATCGGAGCGATGCCCGCAGCCCGGACCCGCCCGTCCCGCGGCTCCACATCCCCGCGGAGCCGGCCGCGGCCGCGCAGGGAACCGAAGGGGCAAAACTCAAGCAAAGTCTCCTCCTCCTCCCTCTAAACATTTCGGAGGGTCCCTCCGGCAGCGGGCTGGAGGTGTAAACCCAGGAGGAGGAACTGGAGTAAATCCCTCTTTGCAGTACAGGCGCTCCGGGGCTTTAATTTCGTGCGGCGAATCCTCACTGGAGTTTTTCCCCACGACATTTGGAAGGGGATATCACTCCCAGTTGGCGCCCGCGGTCACCCAGCTCCGGTGCTCCCCACGCCTTGTTACCCCGGGGCTGAGCGCGTCCCCCCGCACCCCTGTCCCGGCTGAAGAGGGGCTGCGCTCCCGGGAGCGCCCCGACCCCTCTCCGCGGGTTGCCCTGCTCCACACGCGGTTTTGGGAGGACACAGCTGGAAATCTCCCTCCCCCGGGGTGCTCCCCGCGCCCTGCGTGGGGCAACGCGTCCGCGGCGGTGCTGGGGGCTGCGGGCTCCGCACGGCACAGCGAGGCTGGCATCGGTGCCAGCTTTGGGAATCCGCCGGATTTTCGCTGCTAACGAGCAGCCCCGAGGCACAGAGAGGCGGGGAAGGTCCGCGGGGCGCGGTGCCCCGCTGCGGAGGGGCCGGGGTCGGCCCGGAGGGACAGGGCAGGGCAGGTGGGGGCAGGAATTCCGCGGTCCCCGGTCGGCAGCTGCTGCCTCCCGAGGGGCTCGGGAAGAGCCGAGAGCCTCCCGTGCGGGTCCGCTGGAGTTATTATTGATGAAGTCCTGAAAGCTGCTTGCGAAGAGCTTTCTTTTTACCTGCACGTTAAACGTTAGAGCTGCCACTGAGGGGAAGGGGACCGCTTGGAGAGCCACGACGCAGCCCTGCAAAATGTGCTATTAGATGGATAATACTTTTTTCCTCTCATAATTACTGAGGTACATTCACAAGGTGGAGCTACTGAAAGCCGGAGGAAGCATTGATCTGGTTATCTCCTTGTCCACATACACTCTGTCCCCTTTCTTAATCTTTTAAGCTCTGAATCACAGATCGGGTTCCTCCGTCCGTCCTCACCGGCCTCAGATTTCGGGGCAGGCGCTGTCAGGGGTCGTTTCTCTGCTTGTCCACCCCTCGCTCCCGTCTACAAAATAGATCCCACAAAGTCGCGGCGTTAGGCGGCCGGCTAAAGCAAAAGTACCTTGCCCTGAATTCCCACTTAAAGGCCAATTTTCTTTATTCTGGAGCTTTCAACCCGGCTACTAAAAGTTTTTCTCGCTGGGATTTAGATGTTAGAGGGAACGCTCCTCTGTCCGCTCTATTTTATTTTAATAAAGATTGGAGAAGAAATAACGTTGCTGAGGCAGAAGAAGAGGATTTCTGGGCTGAGCAGCCCAGAAGAGTTTCCCTTCCGCGGGGACAAGCGGCGAAATCGCGGGGCCGGGCGGTGGCGGAGCTGCTCGCAGGGGGAGCTCCGCGCATCCCAGCCCGCCGCGGCCGCCCGCACCCTAAAAACCTCCTCGGGGCAAAGCGGCGGCTGTCCGATCCTGCCGGTTTTCCCTTCCCCTCCGCGCCCGCGGAGGAAAACACCGCCGCTGGGGACGGGGTGGGCGGGAGAAGAGGCACCCACCGACCCCACTGCAACGCCGGCGCGCAGCTCCCTTCCCCCCAAAGCCTTCCCAGCAATTCCTGTTTAATTGCCACCTCCATCCTACCCCCGAAAGCTGCTCGCTAATCGAGCGGCTTTTAATGTATTTTTTTTTCCTTCTATTTTTTAAGATCCGATTTTTTGCAAGGTTAGTTTCGAGTAAAGAATCGCTCCTTCCCGCTCTGCCTCTTCCCCCTCTCCTCCCTTTCGCAAACTCCCGGCCAAAATCGGAAAGAGTTCGAAGAAAATGACAGTGTCACTTCAGATCAGCTGCAACCGGCGTGTCCGCCCAGGGCAGGGCGGTGGGTGCCCTTGAGCCACCCAAGTTTGAAAACTCGCCCGTAAAACAGGAGGATATGGATACCTCTAAGTGTTTGGTTTAGTACGGCTTCTGCCTGAATCGGGGCAGGGGGGGACATACGGAAAGGGAATAGTATGATGGTGGCATCCCTAGCCCTAATTCTTAGAAGCAGCAGGTATAGATAACTGCTAAAAAATAGGAAGCCTTTTCTATGTGTGTTTTCCACGGCACTTGTCCTCTGAGAAGCGCTTCTCGGTTTTTTTTGGTAGCTGCCCGGTACTTCCCCCCCAGAATCAGCTTCTTCACCCCATAACATTAGTGGGATATGTTGTCTGACATGGGAGTTTTGTTGACAAACAAACACCCGAACGGCAATCCCCCGTGGCAGGCAGCGGGCACCGAGGGAGGAAAAGGGCATCACTGTCCTAATTCTTACCTCACCTCGCTTGAGTTTTTAATTTCCCGAGCAGACTCCGCGCTGTTTGTCAGGAGCTGGTTTTTTTCCCCAGTGGAAGCAGCGAGGGACCTGGTTAATCATCTATTGCAGATACATGTGCATGAGAAAGAAAAGTGTTGATGTTTGCTTGTTCGGGCTGATGGGAATGGCCCACGAATTTAGGATTAAATCACTAACGGTAATCATAAGGCTTTGTTCCCTCTCGCTCGCTCTTTTCTGCGGGGATTGTCAAAGTAAAACGTGCAACATTCTTTGGACAAAGAATGCACGGCAGCTTTGCAGTATAAAATAAGCTATTGTACCCTCCTGGCCTGACCGGGATCTCTGCCGATTTTACCCCGAACCAGCCCAGAGCGGGCCAGATCCCAGTACTAACTTTAGACACGTTTTCACAGGTGGATCTGTGACGAGGCAGTGGAGCAGCACTTCAGAAGGGTAGGTTTCGGGGGGGTATTTTTCTTCCCCCAGGTTTGGCAGCGTCCAGCAGTAAATCTCTGCTTGAGGAGGGGGGATCACTGTGTCCGGGCGGCGGGTTTGGGGTTTGCTCGGTGGCGGGGGGGGGGGTGAGGTGGTGAGGGTGTCCTGCAGAATAACTGCACTTCGATGAGTATTGCTATAGGGGACGGTGTACTTTAGAGGGTGATTTGAACGCACCACGTTTAATTAACACCATGACCTCGCCTGTGTTGGCAGCGGGGGTCTGGGTGCGGGGCAGGGAGGTGTCCCCCGCCCCTCGCTGCTCCCCCGGGAGCGGGGCCCGTCCCTTGGCCCCCTCCTCCGGCGCTGGGCCCCCCCTCCGCACCCAGCGCTGAACGCGCTGCCGGCAGCGCAGCTTCGGGGGGCTGGTGCGGAGTGGAGGGGTTCTCGGGAGGCTGAGAGCGCGGAACGGGCCGCGGGGCTCCGCTGCCGCGCACCTTGGAGGTGATACCCAGGAGAGGCTCCGCGTCCCTGCGGGGCTGGGTGGATGCAGGAGCCGA